TCTCTCTCTCTCTCTCTCTCTCTCTCTCTCTCTCTCTCTCTCTCTCTCTTTTCATCGTGGTCTTCTTTGCAGGTGCGCGCGGCGGCTTCGTCAACCTCCGGGTCCGCTATGGCAGACTTCTCCTCCGATGGCTACTTCGGCTATGGCGCATAGCTCTTCCCTGCGGCACACGACGCCACGCGTGGAATAGTGGGTACCAACTCCGATACCAATGCAATCAGACTCGCTATCTTTCACACTTCACATGTATGCAAACAGGTGCGCAGCAAACTGGCGACAAGCGCCCACTCAAACTCAGAGATATGGTAGCCGAGAACACAGTTCAGATACAAGTTCACTTCATTGGCTATGGTGACACAGCGCCCACACAACTCTCTGTTCGCACACACAAAGGATCACCCTGGATATCCCACACGCGATACTACGAACACACACATACACACACACACGCTACACTCTATCGACAGCTATGGCGGCTATGGCCGCTGCTATCCTATCGCTATGGCTAAGCTCCTTCTCGCCCAGTTCATCTTCGGGCTCACTGCAGACCACCTCGCACAAGTCGCTGTGGCAGCACTTCCGCATGGCTCACGCAGGAATGAACGAATGGCTAGGCGCTGCCCTCTGATTTATACTTCTGTGGCTCGTTGGTCTGGCCCTTTCCCATGCCCGTAGTGCACACAGTCCCATGCGGTACTTGCTTGACTGGACTAGGACTGACTGGGACTGGGACTGCCGACTCAGCACAGGAAGACTCCACCACTTGCCCACTTGCCTCAATCTAAACGTGGGCAACTTCGAAAGGCCACTGCTAGGACCTTCTGGAAGGCTGTGGACGTGGCCTTTCGAAACTGTAGCAGCTACGACCTGGACCCTTCCGGACTGTAGCAGCTACGAACTTGACCTTTCGGAGGAGCTACAGTTACGACTTCTAGACCTTTTTTTTTTTTTTTTTTTTTTTTTTTTAAAAGGGGGACATGCTCCAATCTATTCGTGGGGAGCAACACGGCTGGGAACCGGGCCCAGCGTCCCTTACCACAATACAAGAATGAGTTACCGGGGCCATTACCCGGCTTCGGCTAAGAGCAATTGAAAAAAACGAAAAGCTCAAGAATATTCAGAAAATGTATGTCGACAAGCCTCCCAACCACTAAACAGATAGGTAAAACCTATTCAATCCACCTTCGACTGCCACTAGCATGGCTGTATCCAGCACGAACCCAAGCTCTTCCAGGCCTCATGCTCCCTTCAGGCTAGGTAACAGAGTTGCACCACCTTGCTCCAGCACCGGCCAGCATTGCTTCAGTTACGACCCCCGATGACCACAAGGACTGCCCCCGCAGCCCCCCAGATCTCTCTACCAGGCCTCACGCCCCCATTAGGCTAGGTCACAGAGTTGCGAGACCTTGCTAAGACTCCTACCCGACAGGTCTACAGATCGAACCCCTACTACCTACAGACCCTACGACAGTCTACCAACTGTTACAGATACACAGGTCACGGGTTCAACTCTCGGGGTCGACACGGATACTGTACACAGGTAAGGTTAGGACTAGGGATCGAGCCCTGGGATCTGCATCCGCTACTGCGAACTGGTGAATACCGTTTCAGAAGTGCCAAATGTCAGCCAAATGTTATATCGGTAAAACCCATGCATTCTTAAGTTGGTGTGTGGCATCTTTAGGATGAATCCTCCCGGATTGCCCACATGATGCAGTCCATGCGGGCACGCTTTATGTTTGATGAGTTTCTGGAATGGGATGTACCCGGGCACTTAGCAGATCTTTGCATTTTTTTTGTAATGACATTATTAATTTATTACTTCTTCTTTTTTTTTCAAAGCGAAATGCCCCTTCTAGTCTGGGGGGTACTTTATTTATGAGTAATTTGTTTTTTCTTCATTGGTTTTGATAGGGGGATGATGGACGCATGCAAGGATAGACGGTGACCTGTTTCTCGACTTGCAATTATGATAGTTTTGAGAATGTTCTAGGTGCAGATAGGCAGTGGCGTGCTGACTGTGGGAGATGTTGAGAGGTGCCTGGCAGAGTGGTTGTTGCTTTTGGGAGGGGATGCATGCGAAGACAGGTGCTGACCCATTTCTGCACTTGCAATTATGATGGTTTTGTGAACCGTTCTTGTAGGTGCAGACAGGCGGTGGTGCGTTGACTGTGGAAGATGTTGAGAGGTGCCTGGCAGAGTGGATGGGCAGACATGTGAGGATCATCCATGCCGAACCACAGACTCTGGAAGAGGTCTGGCAAGCTGTTGGCTCTGTGGCCGATGCCATCGGATACACAGAGGAGGGGAAGGCAGTTCTCGACCGGTTGAGGAATAGAATAATGACAGTGCAAAGGGCGACGATGGGAAGACAAAAGAAGAGGGCGTTGTGTATACAGTGGCTGTACCCGCTGTTTGCTACTGGTGCTTGGATCCCTGAACTCATCGGATTGGCTGGTGGGGTGGACGTGGCATCCAAAGCTGGGGGGAAGGCTCAGCAGCTCTCTCCAGAGCGATTGGCAAAAGTGGAGACAGATGTCATCCTGGTTGCCATCTGCAGTCTCAACATCCAGCAGGCAGAAAGGGAAGCTGCTGAAGCATTTGAAAACGGTGTACTTGCATCGTTGCAGAAAGCCAAGACGAAAGTTGTTGCAGTCGTGGATGCAGTCAAACTCTTCTCGAGGGCAGGACCGAGTTTGGTAGAGTCGTTGGAGGTGCTAGCAGAAATATTCCACCCGGAGAGCCAACCCTTTGGCCATGAGGGCAGGCCTTGGCAAGGCTGGGGAGTGGCAGAAAGCTAGACGCGTACCCAATATTTTTTCCAAAAGAGGAACGTAGGGCCCGGACTTCTCTCTGAAAGTTCTGGTTAACCGAGGGTTGGTGAAACCCTGCACCAAGCCCATGGTTTGGTGGGGTCAACAGAAGCGCTTGCCCTTGTGGGAAGATTCCTCCCGGAGAACCAACCTTTGGTTATGTGGGCAGGCTTTGATAAGGTTGGGGGGAGTCGCAAAGCTGGATGATGCATGCCCAAGCGATCTTTTCAGAAGATGAAGTAGGGGGCAGGGTGTTCTCTAAAATCACCAGTACATCAGCGCCTCTCGTCTACGATGCCGATTTCTGCTGTGCACCAAGTTTTGTTGAACTGGCACAAGTGTGAAATTGAATCTTTTTTACTAGTGCCGGCGTGCATCCAGCCTTTGCCATTCTGTAGGCCAAGCCCGAAAGGACGCAGCGTGCTAATGAGTGTCAATGCTGAGTGTTAATGCTGATGCATTTCTCATACAAAATCATCAATCGAAGAAGAAGAAGAAGAGGGAGGTACGAAGAGGAAGACACCAACTGCACGATAGTCTGCAAAAAGTATTATATGAAATCACCCAGACGCGACAGTAACCATGTCAAAAAGTGAAAGTAGTGACTATGGCTACCTTCGACGTGCGACCCTACATGTTTCGGCCGGTCGCCGTCCCGGCCTCATCAGGGGTCAGATGTCTCCTGTTAAACTCGTGCGTATACTTAGACTAAATAGTGCTAGTAGACTCCATCTGGCCGACAACCACTGTACTGCTCAATCCGCCCCGCGTCCGGGCTATTCCGAAACTTCCAGAAAACATGCCCACCCAAACCGGCCTTTGTGACCGAAAAAAATAAAGACCCTTCTAAAATATTATTTGTCCCAGATTATTACTAACCCCAGGGCCTAGCGCGACCCTAGTAGCTGTGGAAGCACAAATCTCGATTTCCCTCAAAAACACCGAGAACACAAAACGACAACAAGCAACAGGCCCAGTTTCCCTGCCCTTCAATTCCGACCCTATACGTCGGCAAACATCCGTACCTTATTCCAGTACATACCTAGAAGTTCCCCTAATAGTCGCGAACAGAAAGGCCAATCTGTCGTAGAGGCACTGACAGCATTATTCCGCTGAAGGCAGTGAGCTCGTTTTCCCTGCACTCTGACCCGAGCCTGCACTCAGGCCAATTGCAGAACATACCTAAAAGATTACCCTATATATTCAACTGTACGTACCCAGGCCAAATCCGGCCTTTCAGTTCACCTTACCTGAGTAAACTTCCCAACACATCGGTACCCAGGCCAATCGTCAAGGCAACAAACCAAAGTCGTACCTAAAAACATTTCTTATATACTCTGTTATATGTTCCTAGTTATCGATATCCCCATGTGGAGCCTCCCAGCCCGTCAATACCTCGACCCAATCAGACCAGATACCTCCACCTTTCCTCGAGAAATTCATAAGTACCTGATCGAACACGGAATCGGGGAATCCACTCATCCGCAACTCGATCTTCAAAGTAACAGAAAAGGCCCCTCCATACCTTCCTCAGTGGTCGAAGCCTTAGCCCTATGTAAGGAAGAAATAGCGGCCATCTTCTGTCGTCGAGACGAGAAAGAACAGTAGTCTTGCAAACTTTGAAAAAGGTCACCCCCTCCGATAACCAACCGCTGGTTCTTGTGTACTACAACGCACGCAATCTTCCTTTCTTCTAGTGCAATTGTCATAACACAGCCCAAAAAATCCCAAGAGTTGTCATCGCTCATTTTTTCAAGAGCAAGGTTTTTATCATAACAACTATTTCTCTGGCCATAGTCAGAAGTTTGTGCTCGTAACGGATCATCGGTCGTTGTTGTCATTGTGAAACAACACGGATTATACGAGAACCTTGGGAAGGTGGGCAGTAAGGCTGCAAGACTATGACTTCGACATTCGCCATCGCGGTACCAAGCAAAATGGAAATGCAGATGGGCTGACCCGCCTCTAGCCGTCGAAGAAGTGCTCAGCAAACGAGCGGCTCATTCCGTGGAAGCCTGCCTCGCCTCCGATGGAGCCTCGCTACGGGGAGGTGCACGTTGTAGGGCCAAACCTCGGTAGACTTTCTAGCCTTGGTCAACCTTACTGCGGGTCCCATTTGGCTCGACCCGCCCACGCTCATGCTCAGGGCGCGGGCCGTTCGTCCCATGGTCACCCCTACCTAGTGCTTTGAGATGGATGGGGTTGGGCCATCGCGCGAGAGAGCTTGACATTGGGGATGTAGCTCAGCCCTCACGCCGGGTGGTAGTCTCGCTGGTCATTCCACGATGCTGATTTTTTTTTTGATTCTTGGTTGTGTTCTCAAGCAATTGCTCCTTCCAATAGGCAGGCAGTCCAAGGGTTCTTTGAGAGTTTTTCTTCTCTTGTGCACAGGCTAAGCGTTATCCTTAGGCCGCGCACCATTTCCCTAAGCATTGCAATTCCACGGCGTCATCGAGATGCGGTGATGCCATCCTCCCCCTCGCCTCTACCCACCCCTTGAGTCTCAAGCATCTCATCCATCATTATTGACGCAGGCCCCCTAGTCTTTTCGGGGTTCTTTACATGCATGCATAGACTACTTTACATCTCCCTTAGCAAGGTTGCACTTTTTCCTTTCATTTACACTCGAAGTTACAAACGCAAAGATCACTTTCATGGATTGGTTTTACACTAAGGGTCCCACAACCCCTTTGCCCCGCTTCCTTTTCGATTCGCCGCCCGGTTTCTCCCGGCCCTATCCCGCTCAACGCATTCCAAGCCTTTACTCACCTGCACAATTCCACACAAAGCAAAGACCGATACAATCCCCGTTGGGGGTCAACACATAGCCCTTCCCGCATGCCTAACTTCCATTTTCCTTCGTCTTCTCTTCGTGTTCAATCAATCCATTATCTTCTCTTAGTCATGCAGTCGGGGAAATGGTTGAGTCAAACTGACCTTGCTTTAGATTATACTTTCTCCCGGACTCCATCTTCTCCCAATTTTTCAAACGTCTTTTTCTTTTCCTTCTTGGTCGCACAAGGGACCGACTACCCTTCCCTTGCCCTCTTTTTCAACCAAGTGAGGCCTGATTTTCTTTTACCGTTTGTTCCCTGGCAATGTAACAAACGAGGGATGAAGGGTTAGTTATATGCCAAGTGAGGGGAAGGGAGAGAGAGGGCAAGATGAAGAGGAAGAGAGAGAGAGAGAAAGAGCGAGGGGGAGAGAGAGAGAGAGAGAGAGAGAGAGAGAGAGAGAGAGAGAGAGAGAGAGAGAGAGA